TTCAAAAATAGCTTCCATCATTTCGTCTTCATCTTTCGGTGCTGGTCTGCAATGAAATAAACCATTACACAAGATCTATTTTATTATCTAAAATCTCAAATTATTTGTTACTTTGACGAATGCTTACTTGTCTTCTGGATGAGTGCATGGATGGATAATACCATTCATATCAAGATATAAGTTATCAAATTCTACTCCATTTGGATTTGGATCTGACGAATTCACAGGAACACGCACACCATTCGTAGTCACCGGCTAAAAGGTATGGTATAGATATATATGAAGAAAATTTAAAAATTACATACTTACATTTAAAAAAAAACAAACGTGACACTAAGCCCTTAAGGCGCAATTTTATAAGTTTTTTGTAAAAATGTCTGTATTTTGGTGTAGTACAATACAATAATAAACCTGTCAATAAGTGCATTGTAAATCATAAAAAAGATACTTTGTATAAAATGAAATGGGTCATAAAATATAAAGAACATCGCGAAAAGTGTGCAACGATCGCACAATGATCGTGTACATGCAATATATATTGAAAATTAAACAAAATATTCTTCGTCCAAACAAACAATCTAACCTACCTTCTGTTCGATGCATTCAACGATTACGGAAGGATACTTCCTACTCAACCACCGAAAAAATGCTGGTACACCCATCTTTCGTCGTTCGACGTTGTCTTCTTATGCACTGTACACTTTTTCTTTGACTGTATTACAAGAATTTGTTTATAAATCAAGCGAATACTAACTGTTTTTACCGTTTACTCATAGTTAACCTATAACACACAATAACACACACTCAGGAGTCGGCCATATTGGATCAGCCAAACGTACGTGTGCTGCCATCTTCGGCGCAAATAAACACGTCGTAAATAATAAATAATAGGAATGTAAACGCTGAATAAATATAAAAATCAGCGTAATACAACAAATGAATTTGATGCTATATTTCAGGTTAATTTTTAGGACACTAACGTTAGAGATAATAAGGAAAAATAAAATGCTGTACTTTGTGTACTTTATCCCACACCCTATTAAGTAAATACTTATTTTGCCGGTCTTCTCTGCACAGAAAACGTACATGTAATATAACGCGCCCATAATTCAGACATAATATACTCGGTACGTCCAGGTCGAAATATTTTAGATCTCGTAAATTATAAGTAGATATATAATAATCAGCTTTTTCAATTCTCGTTCTACAAATTTGCAAGATGACAATGAAACGTCGTATCTTTTTACAGCAAGCTGTGAAATAAACGAACATTTTCGAGATGCAAGAAGAGAACATTTTACATGGACCGCCTGTGTCTATTCCAGAATTCAAAAATTTATCTATAGGTCAATTGATTTTGAATCAATTGAATGTTCATAGTTCTTGGGTGGCACAGGTAAACAATTCAAATCAGTTCTATTATAATTTATATAAGTATCAATTAAATATATCTATAATTGTTGGATGATACAATATTTTTCAGGTAAATGCTTACACAGGAAAGAAACAAACATTTAAAGAAATTCTAGACATTAGTCGAAAGCTAGCAATTGCTATTGACAAAGAAGGGTTGAAGAAAGGCGACCATATAGCTATATGCAGTGAGAACAATACAGAGTTTTGTATACCAGTATGTGCTGCACTTTATTTAGGTGTTACTGTTTGTCCATTGAATCCACTTTATACGGAAATGGAATTAAAGCATGCATTAAATATAACGAAACCAAAGTACATCTTTGCATCCGCAATTGGAGCACCTAACATGCTCAAAGTATTGCCTCAACTACTGTGGTTACCAAAGATAATAATGCTAACAGATTCCAGTGATAATAAGATGCCAAGTATCAAGAGCTTAACATTAGACATAGCTACCGATAATAATTTTTGCGCACGTTTAATAGATGTCAAGGATCATGTATCGGTCATCTCATACTCCAGTGGTACTACAGGATTGCCAAAAGGAGTGATGTTAACAAACAAAAATTTTTTATCAATGATAAGACACTTTGCTTTTGCATCTCCCGAAATTGTAAACACTAATGCAGTAACTTTAGCTTTATTGCCATTTTTTCATGCGTATTCTTTCTCTGTTCTACTTGTAAGACTAGTATTTGGGAATCAAAGTGTCATTCTTTCACGTTTCGAGGAAAAAATATTTTTACATACCATTCAGAAGTACAGAATTGAGCATATAACTGTTGTACCACCGCTTATGGTGTTTTTAGCAAAGCATCCTATCGTAGACAAATACGATTTGTCTAGTATCAAACATATTTGGTAAGTCTCAGTTTAAATTCCGATAAATTCCATTAAAAAGAAAATTTTACGTTCTCGGTAATTTTAATTAGGTGTGGTGCAGCACCTTTATCCGAAGAAATCGCAAAAATAGCCGCAAAACGACTGAACGTGCAAAGTATAAAACAGGGTTACGGATTAACAGAAACTACACTAGCTGTGATTAATTCGCCAAATAATAGCAATATAAAATACGGAAGTGTGGGGAAGCTAGGTCCAGGGATATCTGGTAATACACTATAGACCTTTGTTTCATAAGTATCTATTTCATTGTTTTCTTCTATATTTAGCAAAAGTAATACCGTTTGATAAGGATGAACCAAGTAGAAACCTAGGACCAAACAATATAGGAGAATTATGTTTCAAAGGAGATTTAATAATGAAAGGATATTATAAAGATGAAAAAGCTACAGCAGCAACAATTGATAAGGATGGCTGGTTGCATTCTGGAGATGTAGGATATTACGATGAAGAGGGTTACTTTTATATAGTGGATCGCTTGAAAGAACTTATTAAATACAAAGGATTTCAAGTTCCACCTGCAGAACTGGAAGCAATATTATTAGCATGTCCTGGCGTTAAAGATGCAGCAGTGATTGGGTTACCCCACGAAGAAGCAGGAGAATTACCAGCTGCTTTTATTGTTAAACAAGAAGGATCTAATATAACAGCAGAAGACATTAATAAATACGTGAATGGTATGTGTTTATCATAGTAATTAATCTAATAATTTTCGACGTAATAAAAACTGTTGCAGAACGTGTATCGTGCCATAAACGACTTCGAGGGGGCATCAAGTTTGTCGAAAATATTCCGAAAACTGCATCAGGAAAAATACTACGTCGGATATTGCGCGATACATTTAAATCGAAATTATAAATAGATATGGCATTAACTACTTTGATCTATCCTTGATTTATTTTTTACATTTATTTTAAAATGTTGAGGCATAAGAAAGAATAGATTAGTATTTATGAAAATAACATTAACGAATTTTGGTCGAGATATACGTTTCGTAAATAGTTTAATTTTTCTTAATCCTGCAGAATCTGAAACTTCTTCAATTACTGTTTTAACTTTTCTTTTACTTCATGTGGCATCTTACTTAAGTACCACTGATGATTCTGACCAGCAGCTGTAGCTAATACACCTCGTAAATTCGGGTACGATGTTCCTGCATCGTAAGAATAATGCTCCCCATACAAATCAGTTAAAGTACCACCAACAGCATGAAGAACTGCCTCTGGTGCACATGTATCCCATCTTTTGCAACCTTTACTAGCAAATACATAAGCATGGGCTTTTCCTTCCATTAAAAGTATCACCTATGAGAAAGTAAACAAAAATAAACGAATTAAAAGAAATTCAATTAATTTAGTGTTAATATTACCTTATACCCTGCACCACCGACGCGCAAAACCTCATCGGGACATAAAGCACTTATAGCTGCCTGAACATTGCTATCCGAATGCGAACTAAAAATGTATATGTTTCTTATTTCTTTTACAAAACATTACACCTTTATTTGCCCTAAAACTGAATCCTACCGTGTAGTTGTAACTATTCTTTTTCCATCAGGGGGTGCAATTGGTGTGAATCCTCCGAATCCTACACCATTAATACCCCAAATAGTACGTCCTAATGTATCACTCTCATCATTTTTATAATACGGTTGATGAATTACTCCTCCAACTGCTCTTTCTCCAATTGCTATCCCTACTAAAACTGTTACATGCTCTACAAGACCCTGTGTATACTCGGATGTTCCTAAAAGCAGTGTTTTCTTCAACATATTTGCCTAAGCTTAACTGAATTTTGCTTCTATAAATGTACATAACCAAAATAATTATAACTAATAAAATGTGTATCTACCATCCAATGGATCTACCCAAATGCAAATATCTTTAGGATCGATATCTTCCAGATGAGCTGGTAATTTCAATTTTAGCACTTCTTGATCCGCTTCTGTTACAACCCAATCAGATGGTACATCACAATTACTCGATTCTTCTTCACCAATGATGGTAATATTTGGAAACTGATGGCTCAAAGAAGCAATAATACACCTTTGCGCACACCGATCTGCTTCAGTTTGTAAATCATTTTTGCCTTTTTCAACTATATTTAGACCTCCATGACTCATAACATCTCTTATTATTGTGCCTGCTCTCACTGAAGCAGTTATAGAAGAGGCCACTATTCGTGATAATAGGCAAACACTTTGAGCCATTTTTCGGATTTTTCTGTTAATACTAATCAATATTGATTCTGCTTTTCTATCACAAGAATTACTGTATCTTTAACCAAGAATGACTTAAATATGTTATACGCGCGATTAAACTCACTTAAACGATAAAAAATTTGTAACAAAAAGACTTAGAAAGTAGCAGTATTTCTCACAAGGTTATACTTGATGGAATACGAGAAAGTGAACAATATTTTAAAATATGTTTTCAAAGCTTCACACTATTTTTGTTATAATCTACAGATAAGATAAACTCCTTAAAACCGTTTATGGCACATAATATGCATATTTATAATAGGTATAACAAATGCAAAATAATAGACAAATTTTTGTCACTGCTATATTCAAAACAGTAAAATAGGATTTACAGTAATTGGTATTAAAAGAAAACAATATATGTTATAACAAAGCGAAACATGCGTACAATCAGATCGAATCAGATCATGAGAACAGTTAGCTATTTTATACATTGTAAATTGTCGATATATAATATCTTCGAATAATCTTTCATCAGAGATATTATGAACAAAAATTTACAATGTAATACTTAGTAATACTGCTTTGTATTTTGAATTACTTTCTCATAAAACAAATTATTTTCTATTGCAGTAATTCACGTATGTACAAGTTACGTTATGTAAACATTTTTAAGAATCAAAATAAATAACAATATTATTAAGAACTCTCCAATAATTACGGCGGAATTTAAGATATTTAATAAAGTTATTAAATTCGTTTAAAAACATTTCGATTTCAACTACTTTTAAGCAAATCTTGTACAGGCATAACCTTAAACGCATAACTTCATAATATTGATTACATTTTGTTGCAAAGTACAATAAATGAGAAAAGATGAGAATTTTGTGTAGAAATTTACTAATGTCGTCGAAAACCTTTATATCGCCAATTAAAAAATCTCAAAACAACATTATTCAACGAATGATAAATAAATCTGCTTTATGTTCGAATTGTATACAAATTGCGAATAGTAAAACGGAAGAGAGTAAAAAAAAAAAGAAAAATAATATTAACGATTACATGAACAGTATCAATCCAAAATCTATAAACAAAATTATACAAAATTATTTATCGTTACGTACGAGAGGAAATTTATATCTAATTAATGCTGAAATAGCCAAGCAATTTGTTGATTTTATTATAGACGATTTATTAAAGAATGCAACTCATGTAATCGAATTGAATCCAGGTCTCGGTTATTTGACAAAAGAACTATTGAAAGCTGGTGTACCATTTGTACATATGTATGAAAATGAATCTGCTTTTAATACTATACTAGAGAAATTGTGTCAGCAATTTCCAAAACAGTTGTCTAAAAAAAATGCGAATCTTTTCGATATAGCGAAAATGATGTATTCAGCCAGCTTTACCACTGGTGCAACATCTTATGTATTTAAATTATTTGACAATGTACAGAGGAAACAATGGGAAGACACAAGTTGTATGCAACTAGTTGGAATAACAGACAAACGCGAATTTATAACTCACTTGATATTAAGCACAGTATTTCAAACATGCCTTATGGCATTTGGACGAACAATTTTGTATCTTGCAATGAAACCATCCGTATGGAAAGTTAGTAAGAAAAGTTTATTTTCAAACTTCCCTAAAAATACCATTTCATATTTATAATTTTTATGTTTTAGAAATTTACATGTTCAAGTTCAAGTAGGATGACATCTGCTTACGTTATGTTTCAAATAATATTTGATTATCAAATGTTTGGAACATTGGATAGAAAAGCATTCGTGCCATGGAAAAGAAAGATGGGCTTCCAAAATAACGACAAGCATAAATTTTATGAAGAAGACAGTAACTTTCTTTATGTTGTTAAATTAGAACCAAAGCCTGATCTTTTAAAAACTCTTGGTGGAAAACAAGATTTGATATACTTCTGGCATTTTACTCGACGAAATTTATATAAACTAAACAATAGAGTGATACCTACATTAGAGTGAGTATAATTATACAAATATGTAAGTATTATTATTAAGCAGTATTAAACGAATAATGTTCATTAATGTTTCAGAAAAATAATACCAGGCTGTGGTTTGAGATTAATAGAAAAGAATTTTAATATTTTTACTCAGTTTGATGATCTGACCCCACATCAAATTCTTGACCTCTTTCTAGAATTTCGGTCGTGGCCGGAATTCAAAGAAAGTATATTTGTATTAGGTGCAACTGATTCGCAAACAATGTATAATACAGATATATATAAATGATATAATTTGCTGCTCGTATAATATTTATGTTCATATTTATTATAATATACTAAAATAAATTTTTCTACGAAATGATCGCATTTTAAATTAATCATTCTTATATGTAAGGTGTATATATTTTTTATCGTTTTTCACGCAAAAGATGTATTTATATATGCATTTAGCAATAGTGGGAGAAAAACGTCAATTCACCGCATATACTTAATAGTGATTGGTTGCTGATTTTAATACTTTTATTGTGCTCAGCTATGGTTGCCCTTGAAATTTCAGGGTCAAGTGAGGTCATTTAAAGAGACATAGTACACTAAGCTGAGTCATCTGTACATCTGCAGTAATAATAAATACTTGCAAAAACTTTAATAACCTATATTCAAGAGAATAATATTTTCTATAGTTTTGTTTTAAAACTTGTATACTACTTAGCTTGCATAAAATGAAGTGGCTAGTTTTAGGCATTACATTAACAATATGGAATTATATAGTGTGTCAAGATATTGTATTCCCAGATAATGAAGAAGTATCTCATGTTAGTGGCAATAATCAAATGGTAATTATATTTAAAGATAGATATAAATTATTTTGTAAGATAACAAGGAAAACTCAACAAGTGTTTCCCTTCAGATAACAGAACGTATTCCAGTGTCTATACCGGGGCAGTGTCCCGAAAATATGCTTCTTTATCCTGGAGGAGGGAACAAAAGCTCATGGGTATGCGATTGCAGACCTAGATTTTTATATTTCCCTTTAAACGATACTTGTTACGAAGCATATACACAAGGACCTTGTGCACCACAGAACTACGTGGTACTTCCTAAAAATGAAGTTGTACCACAATGCGTAATAAATCCATGCAGAGTAGAGGGCTTAGTACCGTACAATGGTACATGTTACCCTCTAAGAACTGTAGGTGGTCCATGTGCTCCTGATGGAGTATTAGGAGTAAACGAAACTAATTTTGAATTGGAATGTGTACCAACGGATATTGCACCTTTTATTATAATTCAAGCACCTAAAAGGCAGTGTCCTGCAGGAAGTCGCAGAAACAGCCTTGGAATATGCAGAGAAGTAATTTGAATCATCACTGATCATTTACTCTTTCGGTCTGTTGAGTATAATAAACTTCAATGTTTTGTTATGATTCTGATATATTATAAGAATATATTACTTATATATATTTACAAAATATATTTTAAACTATATTTAAGTTAAATCATTTTCAACATGAAATTTTAACTCTATGTACATTCAATAATTGTACATATACGTAAATTGTATACTTATAAAATTCGTATCATTAACATTCATTGTCTCATCAAAAGCTATTACAACTAACTAAATGTGTGATTATTTTATATTTGATTCTACTCTAATATACTATATACAAAGTACAGTAAATATAATACAATAAGAATATTTTATATCTAACCATTGTTAGCATTCTGTAAATTAAACAACAAATATATTAAACCTATGTTACAAAATATATGTTAATGCTTGCTATGATGGCTATGAGTAATCTTATCCAGTCTTGCCACATATAAACTTTAGACATTAATAACTTATATCCTTTAAACATAAAAAATTTCATTTTAATACTCCTTGTTTCATTAAACTTGACTGTCTTGCCATTTTATACTTCTTGATGGATTAAAAAGTTTCTTTAGGACACAATACATTACTTCAATTATTACATGAATTAGAAAATGTGCGTTTAAAAAACTGACTCTGTAGAGTATAAATGTTTTTCAGAAGAATAAGAGTAGTAATGTAATCAAAATTGGAATAGTTGACATGCTTGAATTTCTAATTTTATTCTTGTATTTCGTTACTCCTAGCAGCTTCTATTAATCTCTGCCTCTCTCTGTACATGGAAACTTTCATATTTTCTAACTGATGATATCTTAGCAACTTCAACACTGCAAAAACTGATAAACCAACCCAAATAGATAAACTGGTCCAAATACCAAATTGAGCTGCACCTAGTTCTATATGAAAACCAGAAGTTTCTATCCCATCGGCTTTATCAATGTCATTTCCAGCTGCCAGTTCGCAGGATGGAAATCTTTTCGTCATACATTGACACCAAGTCATGAAACCAAGGGTTACAATAACAGCAGCAACCAAGGTAGTTGTCGTGAGAAATATGGAACTGATAACATCAATAAAGGCTGACAAAAAGGAACTGTCCTCCCCGCGATACATAAATATAGAAAGTCGATAGATCTGTACTGCAGATGTCACACACAACATCACACCAACGATAATTGTATAATTGCAATAAGCTCGCGAAGCCCAGTTTACTACAAATTGTCCATCCGATTCTTGCCAAGTACCCGTAGAGAACAATAGACAATGCCCTCTGCAAATAAAAGGTTAGAATGACGATGCGTCACATGTACGATTCAATAATATTTATTACTTGTTTCACTTGATACTGTAACTACCTAAATTCGTTTTGGTGCAAGCTCATAGGTATGATAATACAAAGTGACAAGATATTAGCTATGATATATCCCGATATCTGACTAAGAAGTAGCACATTCGTTAACGCCATTTTTTTTTTTTTTGTTTCAATAACAAGAGAAGCTTTATTCCGCGATATATTCGTAGAAATGAAGAACTGCAATTTTCAATAGATTAACTAGCGAACCGTCGAATAATTTTTGTGACAGATCGTGACTGATCGTGACAGATCATTCGATCACGACGCATCTGAACCTATTAATAAACGTGTACTGATGCGTACGCAGCGATTAGCATGAACACAGCCACGTTCAGTGTGGTAAACCTTGCGTAAACATAAACACTCCTTTTCAATTCCTATTACTTTCAAAATATTTACTTTATTCAAATAACCGCGTATTAAACACGATTCAATAAAGAATATTCCATTTAGTATGTAACACATTAAAGGAGTATCCCAGTTGTACGCGGAAAGAAAGAAACGTTCGCGTTACAAAATTTTATTACACGATTTACGAAACAACTCGTCTATGCATATTCTAAAATATATAATGCAAAAAACTTGTTACAGGTTACTACGTACTTATTTTTCCTTACATCGAAATAGACTACGCAATAATTGAAGAATTATGAAAACCGTTAACGTTTCTTTCTTTCATGAATATGTATGTACACACATGTATGCATATGTATACGCAGAACCAATGATCTAACGATACTAAAGTAAAAATTAATCACAATGTTGCAACTTCTATGTAGAATAGCGATAACAAAACTGAAGTAATCCCTTTTCAATCTTCGATGCGAATAACGTCTGTAATGAAACGTTCGACGCAAATTAATTCGATTCCTTGGAGTGCAAGTTAGTGCGCTATTCCGTTTATTTGAAAAATAGAATGCATAAACCTTCCTGATAAACGGGAAAAAATAGATTAAGTGAACGTAACAGAATCGCTATATCGTGCGGAATACAATCGGCGAACGGAATTGCATAAACGTAAAACAGCGTTGGAAAACTAAAGTATCTCTCCAAAGTCAGCTGATTTCAGTCAACGAGACCACCATTGCTTCTTTACGAAGGTTTGTCCCGATGGTCAGGCTCGCGTGTGTGTGTGTGTGTGTATGCGTGTGTTTGTAGTGCATCCGAAGGAAAACATTACGCAGCTAGAACCCCGTTACATCCGAATCATCGTATTATGTTAAGAATCGTTGCACTAAACTGGACACGTGTGAGGAAGATGGAATTCACGTGGATGAATTACTTTTCATCCACCGTGCCCGAATAACAGGCCTAACATAAGACGCATGACGAAAGACAGACCTTCGAAAAATCCCATGTCTTTCATAGATTAGACTCAAACGTGCGAATAAGATGTCTTGGTTGGGATGCTTCCCTTGGTCGCAAGGGATCAAAAAACGAGCCTGCAGATATCTCCTACAACGATATCTTGGTCAATTTTTAGAGGAGAAGCTGACATTGGATCAACTCACAGTAGATCTTTACAATGGAACTAGTCGTGTAACCAATGTCAGCCTTGATGTACAGGTAACTATCACTTCCTTTGTTATGTGTTTCTTTGTTAAGCTCCTAAGGAAAACGACAGATATTAATATCCCTTAAGGCAACATGTAGTTTTTACGAAACAAAGAGAACAAGCAATGAGGGTGAATTGTTTACTAGATTTGTTATTTTTCATTTTAGGCGCTTAATGAGCTGGGAGAACAGCAACATCTGCCATTAGAATTTGTAGATGGTTTTGTAGCAGAGATGTCAATTAGTATACCGTGGTCAGCTTTGCTTAGCGAAGCTAGTTACGTGGAAGTGACAAGTCTAAGGTTAACGGTTCAACCAAGACAAAGGATGGAAAGTGGTACTTCAATGTTCGAATCCATGTGGAGCTCTATGACATCGAGTATGCAACTCGCACAAGAATGCTTGCAAGAAGATGCTAACAATGCTGGGAATTCTCAACCTTTAGAAGGAGTAGAATTGTTTGCACAAACGATAGATTCAAGTAAGAATTTGTATATACTGTAAGTAAGCTAATACGTGACTATTGAATTACAAAAAAAAAATCTTGTTTATTATAGTTTTATGCAGAGTGAAAGTCAGATTTATAGATACTGTGATACGTTTGGAACATGTGCCACTAGATTCTTCAACAGGAGTTGCAATAGAAATGTTTATAAAGAATCTCGAATATTCAGATGAAGCAGGCTTGGATCCAAGCAATACTTCATTAGATCCTAGTCAATCTACAAAAGGATATGTTGTGTCGGCATTTACGACTAAACGTTTTTACCTAGAAGGAGTGACTTTTCACACGGATGAATTTCCATCTAGTGCAAGAACTTTTTCTAGAAGTATAATAACAACGAGTAGGGGTTCGACGCCAGATTCTAAAGTAATGTATTTCACAAGAATTAGTAAGAAAATAGACAAAAACGAAAATGACAAAAATCGGATTCTTTTGTTATAGAATTCGGATGGCCAATTTTCTTCTGCACAAATGTCTCCCAATCAAAATACGCAAACTCCTCCAGATGCTAATATTATTAATAATTTAAGTGGATCGAATCCTATAATGTTTGCTAAGTTGGCAGGCAGACAAGAAATAAGATTAAAATTGAAACAAGGAGAAGGTGTCTCAGGGCCAAAGGTAAAAGTTGAATAATTAGAATTAAGCAGTAAACATTATGTGGATGTATAAAAGTATAAGAGAATAATGCTATTTGATCGTAACGTATTCGATAAAAAAGTAAAGAAGAACTAATTACTTCAGGTAGAATTAGAAGTAACTCTGGGATCTTTTACTTCGTTTTTAAGTCCGCGGCAAGTGCATGTTTTAATGGAATTAGGACATGGACTTGCGTCTCCGGACTTGGAAGACATCAGCAATGTCGCACCAAGAACGTGCGTCGAAAAACCTATGGCTCGCAGCGACTTTCATCGCGTGGAACGCGAACTTATTCAACAAATACAACCAACTCAAGGATTGCGTACTATGGTGATGAAAGTTATACTGTAATGCTTAAAATGATACTAAGGATTAACAAGAGATACTAAATAAAACAAATTCTCGTAAATAACAGGATCTAAGGCATACGCATGGTTGGTCAACGGCATCTTTGGACGAGTCTGACAATGAAGATGAATTTCTACCGATGCGACTACCGGGGTCCGCGTCGATGAGTAACTCTGTTACGAGTAACAATATCAGTATGGACGGGAGTATATCGTCTAGTAGTATTAGCTTAAAAAGTTCAGCAACAAATTTACCAAAGCAACGTAAACAGAGACATAGCGTGGATAGCGGTCCTTCCACGGAAACATCTCACTTTCACGTGAGAGTATCTTCCATAGCTATAGTCCTGTTACACGAAGATATATTAACTACTTGCGTAGACGGCGGTGGCTTAACGTGTTCTAGTATACGACAAATGAAGAGATCGGCAGAAGAATTTTTTAAAGAACTCGGATTGTTCGCAGCCACTGGATATGGAAACAAAGATTTTGATAAGGCATCGAAGTTGCTCTTAGACGCTTGCCATTTGAGTCACATTAGGTAGGCACAATCAGTACGTAAATACTGATAAATCTAAGAAGATCCGAAAGCTTTAACCTTCCTTGCTTATTACAGATTGCTTGCTGCGCCGTTAGTAATCGAAGGAAAAGAAAAAACTATGACGCTATCTTCTGCGATATCTGGAACCCTGACGTTAGCTAGTTTAGAAATTGTAGAATGTTTAATTGATTCCAACAGCTCTGGCGCGAGCGGAACTCCCCCGACGGAATATGTAGAACTACTTACATTTCCAAAAGAGAACTCAACGAATGTTGGCTTTACTAATAAAACAGATTTCAAAATGAAATTTAAATCCGTGGAAAATGCTCAGGGTGCTAAGCACGCTCAGTTAATGAAATCTACGAATCCGTGTACAGAAATTGAGTAAGTCTACGCATATCGATCTACACCGCGGAATGCTTACTAATTTTGATTCTTCTAGTATCGAATTGGAGCCATGTAAAAGCGAAGTGGACATAACCATCGTAGATAGGATATGCGCTCTATTGAATCCACAACCTATATGCTCGTGTAACCCTGTATCTAACAACAGAAATATCGTGAGTTCTTTACTGTACATCTGTTAATTACAATAAGCAATTTGTATTATTACATTATAAATTTCTTCAGAATCAACAAAATATATTTTATCAAGCCGTGGAGAGTCCCGCTTCGTCAGATTTTGCAGCCGTTATAAACGTATCCTCGTCGCAATGTACAGTAAAACTAAGGTAACGTAGAAATACGGTTGTAGAGAGTGTTCTGGAATCACGGCACATTTAAAAGGTTGATAACTTAAAAATAGGTTTCCAATACCAGATTTAAGACCACTGCACGATATGAATCGAGCACCGTGGTGGAAAAGATCAGTAAGAACGGATTACATGATTTTGAAACTGATAGATGCACAAATACATTCAACCATGAAAAGTCATCCTCACTCTGTAGCAAAGCATGAGATTCAGTTTCGTAAACTACTCTCTTCGTACGCGGAAACCGAGACAGACAAGCCGATAAAAATAGGCAAAGTTACAACTGACGAGAAGAACAACGCGTCGTGTCAACAAGTAAACGAGGGTTTTGGGTGGGCCAGAGTAGTAATTACGATTTACTCAAAACGTTCGAGCGGCCAGCTTGAAGATAGTTCCGAAGGAGAACCAGATTCTAGCTTGGACGAAGCTTTGGACAGCGCGCCTAAACATCAACCATCGCCGTTCAGCTCTAAGCGGGTTATTCATGAATCTGATACACCCCATTCGCAAGGAGACAAAGATGATTCAGAACAAAGGTTTACATAACAGAATTCTTTAGTAATCGGCGGATTAACGATATAATTCAGTTTCTCAACGTTTTCGCTTAACGATTCAGGATCTTTTCGGGAAAATAACATGTTAAAAATAATCGAAAATGAGAAGCAAGGTGGAAGAAAGGAACACGTAATGGTTGAACTTAGACTAATATATGCGGCTAAATCTAAAAATCAAATTACACGCGACAATGATAGGGAGCAAAGTCAAATTCGTTAATTTGCACGTAGCAACGTCATTATTTTGGAAATACGTGACAGCTCGATTACCATAAAATAATGTTAACAATAAGTGATTATGCAGGGGATCTGCGTAACGATACTTTAAGTTAAATCGTTGAGAAAACGAGTTGTTTCGGTATTGTCGCGATATCCACAAAAATAATGCGTGTACAGTTTCATGTATTCAAGATTATACTTGGCACGTTATAAAGTATAATTTTGTTGCGTTACATAGAGAAGGTGAAGAACTGATTATACCGGGAAGCCGAGAAGAAATGCTAGAATTCATGGACGAAGGCACGCGTAGTTCCAGAATTCAATTAGAAATTAACTTTCCATGTGTTTTCGTCCAAATACCATCTAAGCATCTATTCGAGTTACTGTACAATAGATTCAACAGTGATCTTCTGTTATGGAGATCATCAGCGCCGAGACCAAAGTATACTACGCACATGGAGAGTCATAAAGGGCTCGATTTGGCGTCTACCTTGTTACAAGAATCCGTTTATCCAAGGTGAATAGTATTAAACAAAGTCGCTATAATTTTCAGTTTAACAGTGGGTTTGTGTTTTAGATTTAGCACGTGTAAAAGTGGAATTCAGTATGATTCCGATTCGGACTCGAACGAAGAGGGTGTATTTCGTTCTGCAGCCGATAAAAGTTATAGGCAACATCAAAACAGGGTGTCGAGAAATGGTCAGAGCAACCTAGCGCTAATTTTGAATATAGACCAAGGTCTTCTTTGTATGTACGCTCCTGTTCGCGATTCGATGAGTAACGTTATTCCTGGCCAACAAGGAGAATTGATAATACGCGTAGAGGACACTACGATATTTTCGGTGACTTCGTACAAAGGAAACTCGAATTTGAGTTATGTATGCGCTATGATAAAAGAAACATCGTTGGATCATTGCGGATTAATGACGACTCCTTCGCAACCACCTACAATGATACGTATTAATAGCGTTAGCCCGCGGCATTGTCAAAAAGCTATATATAAAAGCGAGCTAGATGCGAACGTAATGGGAACAAATAACAGCGATAAAGATATGGTGATGCTTGCTATCCGAATACAAGCTGCTCATCAAACTCATCGTATAAAAGTTGGTTTAAAAATTGTTTCGAACAAATTGAATTTCTACGATCGCTCGATTAACCATGCTTTCTTTTACGATAGACTTTCAGAGTAGCCGTAGGCGTAACAAATGCTACATTGCGGTACAAGATGTGTACGACTGGTACATCGTGGTTCACACAACTAACGGATTGTCTCGACGTGATCGATTATCCAGTCGCTGGTTACTCATCGCCAGGAGTATTAACAGAGTTGCATTTACATTTCTGGGATTGTGCAATTGACTATAGGTTCTTGTTTTAACAGATCGAAACAACACCTGCGAATTATCTATACTTAAAAATTTGTATGATTTTAGGCCAATTCATCTGCCATTGAGATCGATGATAACTCTGGGTAACTTTAGCGTGTCCAGTAATATTGCCGCACAAACGAATACTTCAACGTTACGTTTTATAGCTGAAGATATCGCGTTGTTTGTATCTAACAAGCTAGGAAAAGTCGTGGACATAAAGCGAGACTACGTCTGCGTCATGGATGTTGGATTGTTCGAATTGTCGTTGAGGCTAAATAGTAAAATGTTTGGCGGAGCACCTAGAGTGGATCTCAGAGCGAGCAACAACGTTCTGCATATTCGCACGTGTTCGGATTCTGGTCGTATCCTTATTCAGTTGTTGACTTATTTTGCCAACGATGGAGATCTAATGCCAAACACGGAAAGTACCGAGAGTATCATGGTACCGAGTTCCGGAGACGAAGAGAGTCTCTTTGGCGACGAGAGTATCAACTTGTTGAGCACGAGTCAACTGGAGCGCGTAAACACTTTGATGGAAGAGGCGATGACAGAAACTGTAAACGGTAGATTCGAACGATACGATCGAATAGAATCGGTACGTCGAAACGAATGCGAAATAATAATTGATGACAATAATTCTGTTGCAGGAACAAGTGCGAGCGTGGATGGGAAAATCTTAAAAAACGAAGATAAAGTAGAAGTATTTTTCTTTCCCGATGAGTCTCACCCCCCTTCGCAGATAATCCCTGAGATGTCGAAAGGTCCCGAGCAATGTGCCAAGTCAGAGTGTAACGTTGAGATCGAGGATGCTAACGAAGACTTTTGTATATTAGGAGAAGAAGCAGGCGCAGGGATTATGCCTAGACACGGGGTACCGGAAGTTCGTTGGCTGTGTCAAGAGTCCTTAAGGATAGTAGATAATTACTTTTCGATTCCGCTCGGTAAACCCGACTTACTTAAAGCGCCTAGACATTTCCCTTCTCCAATTCTAAGGTACACCCTATGCGAAATGACATTAATTTGGCACATGTACGGAGGAAGGGATTTCGAATCCTCGCCACCAACAATTAAGAAACACGTGTCTATTAACGATAACAAAAATCTCCCTAACGCGACGATTCATGAAAGGTATGTATCCGACTTAAACGATCATCGAACGAGAGTTTTATTTCTGTAATTTTTATTGTGTACAGGAGTAGATCTCCATGGTACGACGGAGTATCTTTCAATGAATCGAACATGAACGAAGTACACTTCGGTAGTATACCAAATTCACCACGAGGAAAGTCTAAAGAAACTAGCGAATGGCACACGTTGGGCGGACCTGGCCGCCGACACGACGTTCTAATGGAAATAGAATTGACCAAAGTGCGTTTTCAGCACGAGGTCTACCCGGACAATACCGAAGAAGCAGCGAGACAAGTACTGTTGATAAGCGAGATAGAAATTAGGGACAGGCTAGCGTCTTCGTACATCAACAAATTCTTGTATCAGTACAGTAGCGAAGCGAAACCCAAACAGTCTCATGCAAATATGTTCGTCATGAAGGCGGTTCACATCAGACCGGATCCAAGATTAAGTGCTCAAGAATGTTGCTTGAAACTCAGCCTACTGCCGTTGCGTCTGAACATAGACCAAGACAGCCTATTATTCTTGATAGAGTTTTTCAACGAATTGAGCGGCGATCTAAAGGAGACCCAAGAGAATTCTAATACACCCAGCAACCCTCAGTCTTCGCCATTGTCTAAACAAGGGACGCCGACGCATCATCTACCGGTCATGAGCGTGAATGATACCGCGCCTAATACTCCAACGCCAACGAATACTTCGCAAAACGATAGTATAGATCCAAACTTGCTAATACTCCTGGAGGACGAGTTGATGATTAAAGAATGTAAAACCAAAATGAAAACGAAACAAGCAGTTCAGGAAGATTGTCAGCCGATATTTTTTAGGTAAGCATACACGCCTAGACACTATTACGATTGTCCTACACGATATCGGTAGCGATTGGTATCGGTCCGTCTCCATGTAACATTTTATATTAAAGTCTCGTTTTGTTTAATTCGTGTCAGGAGTGTCATATTTTCCCCCGAAGTCCTTGTTAGATTAGATTATCATGGGAAGCGTGTAGATCTCACTCACGGGCCAGTAGCGGGTCTCCTAATGGGCCTGGCACAGTTGAACTGTTCCGAATTAAGACTGAAAAGATTGACACATCGACATGGACTTCTGGGATTTGATAAGCTCGTAACGTTTTTAATTTCCGAGTGGTTGCAAGATATAAAGAAAAATCAACTTCCAAGTTTACTTGGCGGTGTAGGTCCTATGCACTCGTTGATACAATTGTGTAAGTATGAATTCTGATTTAATCGGTCATTCTAATCAGTCTTAATAAGTAATCGTTCGTTTCGTGTTACAGTTCAAGGCATACGTGACTTATTCTGGTTACCCATTGAACAGTACCAGAAAGATGGTAGAATCATTAGAGGACTGCAACGTGGTGCGAACAGTTTCACCACTTCAACTGCAATGGCAGCATTAGAATTGACTTCTAAGCTAATACACGCTATTCAAAGCACTGCCGAAACAGCTTACGACATGGTTAGTCCTGGCCCTAGCGTGAGGAAAAAAAGTAAAGGACAGAAAGGACGCAGGAAAAGATACAGCCAACCGTTGGATATTCGAGAAGGAATGGCTAACGCTTACTTGCTAGTAAAAGAGGCGAGTAATCTCAACTTTTCTCTCAACCCGTGATGTATCGTATGTTTCGCGTTGTTTATATATATATATATATATAATGGAAATGCTTTTTTAGGGGTTGGGTGAAACTGCTGATCAATTAGTACGCGTAGCCAGCGAAGAACACGAGCAAAAGGGAGTCTCTGGCGCATTAGGAGGCGTGTTACGACAAATACCGCCAACGGTGATGAAACCGATCATTCTAGCGACCGAGGCAACTAACAATGTATTAGGCGGTATGCAATCGCAATTGGTGCCCGACGTGAGACGAGAAGCAACTCAAAAATGGCGGCAAGATTCGAACGACGCGAACTGAGACCGCTGTGATGATAAAACTGTGCCGAGTCCGTTTACGGCTCGATATCTGTGTGGCATATTGAATCCATGACGTGAATTACGGAGAGTCCAGGCGGGGGGGGTGGTGGTGTTACGAAACGCGAAGCGAATTTGTTTGTTCAAAAACACGAAACATACAATACGTGAAAGTCAATTGACTCGATCACGTACGAACGCGAGCAAACTTGTTAGACCTAATCGCATAAATTTTAATGAAAAGACTTTGCAAGGTCACTCGACTATCCGATGCAACACATATTCGTGTAATTATACCTTTCAGTTCTATTGGTTTTTTCTTTCTTTTTTGTTACATATACATGCGACGAGATCAAACCGATTTGTTATATTTATAGTTTATAAATAAAATATATTATCGTGAAACATTATTCTCGCAGCTTGTATGTACTTTCGTTTTAATTATGCGTATGTTTTATACCAATGATATGTATCTGAAGATTTTTATTAATAAAATCGTAATGCTTATCACGCATGCTACTTTCTACGCGATAATAGAGGCGAATCGAATTGTCCAAGTTGATTGTTTATAAGACAAACGAATGTTTTTGTTTTTGAATAAAACTAATAAATTTATCGTTCATTTATTCTAGTCGTTCCTTTAGAATCGTGCACAATTCAGTAATGTAACATAAAACATAAACTGCATGTGCATGTATTTCTTATTAATAAAGCGAAAGAAACTTTTGGGACAACCTAATATATTTGCCTACTGGTAATGTAATTGAAACAACCCTAACAGTAGGCAACCTAATAATCGGGTACGTCGGAACATCTCTCGTGAAATTGGCGAGACCGTCATTGCATTAAACAATATTACCTACAACGCATATTATCGTATCATACGCTGCTGTCATATTTTCCTGTTTCAAAATTCTGATTGATCGATATAATGCTTACAAAATATCTAGCTTCGCAAGGCACGTTCGTATCCCTGAGGCACGCTGTATTTTGCATTTCTTCTTACAGATGTCACAGCAAGGAATTGTAGAAATCGTACGCCATCTTGTTTCATAGGAAATAATTACACGAACCGAGTGATAAGGTCGTGTATTACCCACCGATTCGCTAAGATTTGATGCACTTGTTTCGTCGTTGATAGCACTCGCTGCGAATCACGATTCCTAACCTATACCTACTGGGTACTACGTCCTGGTCGAGCGAGATCGAAAACTGTAACGCGAGAACATGGCCGACATGTGCTGCTCCCTGACGAGCACTATATCGATGAACACGTTTGATAAACACGTAATTTCGTCGAGTTGTCATGGCAAAAAACAATTGTTTATCGGGGAGCTTCGATTTAAATTCGACCGTCCTTGGACAGAAGCAAACACTGACAACTCGCCGAATCTACCTAAGCTCTCGCTGTGTCAATTAATCCGTTTTTTTCGTTACGAAATCGTCGCGACAAATCGACTCGCGCCGAGGATGCACGAGACTGGCGAAGAAGGCGAATTTGAAAGTTACGAAAGTTTAACGACCATAACCGATCCACAGGAAGATCATAAGTTGGAATCGACGGTCAAAGATACGGAAAGTCTCGTACAGATTACGCGAGAACTCGTAAAAAACGTACAACGGGAACTCGGTTTGATCAAACTATGTTGGCCAGAAGTTGACTCGAGAAAGGAACTTTACCTGAAGACGATTCCCAGCAGCTATCGTACCCTCAGCGGTAAGGAGAAGGTGCTCGCGTGGTACGCAGAAAACTTTCGACAACAATTTCATGCGAAATACCCGAATCGAAAGCCGCTTCTCCTCGTCTGCGAAAACGAATGCGGCGTGCAAGTAAGTCAATCGCGAACTACCGCCAAACTGGCCGATCGGGATACGAGCGAACATGGCGGTGCCTTCGATAATCGAACCTGACACGCGTTACGCGATCGAAAGTAAACTAAATCAAGGGCACGTCTCTACCAGAATTTCAATTCGATGTAAATAATACATATCTATCTATTTCTATGTCACTTTGAAATTTGATTCTTAAATAAATTAAAGATATCAATTGGATAACTGTAACGTACGCGAAACTCGATTCGATTAATCGTTTCGCCTTGTAAAGTTTTCGAATAGCCCAAGATGACGAACGATAGATAGCTTCATGCAATAACCTCGTCCCGCGAACTTTAAACTCGTTTACAGTGTTGTCGGTTCAAAAGAATATCGAAATATTTTATACGTAACATCGGATATATTTACATTTACACACTTCTCTGCATAAATATTACAGCACGTGTTTCTGTTTATTTATCGTTTTTCATTATCGAATCGACGAGGCAACCTTTCTAACGACCAACGAAATAGCAATGCCGTCAGCGACGAGATATATCGAAAAGCCACGAAATTTCTCCGTCGCTCTACTTACTATTTCAACGATGGAAAATTTTCATTTCTCGTTACTCTCGTTCGGTTTTCTATCGCACGTTCTTCGGTATAGAGGACAAGTGTTAAAAAATATGCGAATACGTTCGTGTTTTATTATTTTCTTCGGTGTATTCTTTCGATAAATATTTTTCGACTCGATTGTACAAAGGCATATTATTTATCTTCATATAAAAATTAAAACGTGTTATAAATAAAATTATGTATCGATATTACCATTAAAATTCATGTTTTTTTTTTTTCTCTTTTCTTTTCTTCCGAGTCGTTCATTTCATTTAAGGTGTACGCGCGTTATTCTTTTAAAAGGTAACGAGGAATGTCGTCTTGAAATAGATTCTAACCTCTCTCCTTGTCGTTCGTCTTTCTCTCCCTTCGATTTTAATTTAACTAATGGAAATATAACTGCGTAATAGGAATCTTTCTAATACACTCGAACCTTCTCTTCTACGATCTAAATAATAAAAATAAACTTCGCTATACATTTATTCGTACATGCTTCAAACGTTCTACAAATACATGGTATGCACTTCGCGTGCAAGTGCACGGTCACAGTCTTATTTACACGCACTGTCGCACTCGACAGTGCTTACTTCACTTTGGTTTCCTGTTTTCTCTCTCTGTGTATGCGTGTGTGTATGCGTGTGTGTATGCGTGTGTGTGTGTGTTTTGTTTGTTTCTATTGTTTTCGTTCGTTATAAATACGCTTTGCTACACGCAAGAATTAGTTTCCCCTTGGAAAGTACATTCGAACACGATAGGAACGACCGTTTCACGAGTCGACAGTTAATTTTCAAAGTGAGATTAGGAAGTAGCTTCGTTCAGATTTTTCTCGCAATGATTCGATCCAATCATCCGCGTGGGGCGATTCTCGACTGGCAAACGGACTCGTTTCGCGACGATGCGAAAGAAAACAGAAAAAATATGTAAAATAAATATTGGAGAAGAGAAAGAGACAGTCACGGGGGGTGGGGCCCGGGGATTTAAATCTCGTCACAGAGACGGACAACATTTTATTCGAACACTGGGAGAAATGAAAACGACCGTTGTTCAACGAGGAACGGATAAAGAAAAGCGTTTGTCTCGTGTTCGTCGTTCCGAGTGTTCGAAACAAATGAGAGAATTTTGCCCATCTTTGTCTCGTATCGTAGCAAAGCATCGTTAAAGAATACGGGGCAGGAGGGAAGAAACGAATCGCGAGATAAGAGTGTGTTTTACAGTTGGCTCGCTTTCCTGTGCAGAAATTCGTGTCTACGACTATCAGACGAAGTACGCTGCCATATCCGGAACTGTACACGTGGCAGGGGTGCGGAAAATTCGTCAGCGACTATATCGAGTACGTGCCGCTAGACAAAGCACTCGGCATGGTAAGTAGTCGAACGTGTCACACTTCATCGAACGTCTTACTTCGTAAAGCTAAGCGACGAAGGTCCTTAAATATATATAATATATATATATATATAATTTCTCATCGATATAACAAACATCGCGTCTCGTCGTACTCGTCAAATTTTTTGTTCTTCGTTTTATCGTTTTTGGACCATTTAGTTTCGCGCGAGTCGCGTGCACACGTACACGTACACACACACACACGCGCGCGCGCGCGCGCACATACGCATACGCTCGCGTAACCTTACTTTATATACCATACGTAAATAACTCGCTAACAGAACACGAGAGGTAGAACTGTTTAGGGAAAAAAGCGCCAGTCCACAATAAACATCGCGAAGCCATTTTAAATATTACTCGCGCGATAATCGAACCACGTACACGTAACCGAAACAATTTTCAAACGAAATGAAGGAATCTCGACCGTGGACAACGTATTCTTCGCGATCTCTCGATACTTCCGACTTCGTTAACGCACCGGTGTCGCGTCGGTGTATATGTTTATCCGTGCGAAAAACAATCCCTAAAGACGCACGTTTAACGATCGATGGATCCCGTTTCTCCTCCGTTTCGCGTCTCGATCGTCACGGGGAAGTATCGCGACGCGCGCGTTCGTGCATTCTCTCTCGCACACCTTAACACTAACGAATGATAAAGTGATCGATATAATAATACCTCTCCTACGGACACCTCAACTTTTATAATAATTACAACAGTCCATTCACGAATTTGGTATATCCTCTTATGTACATGGTTGCGATAAACGGAAAAGATCATTGCGATCCTCCGATTTCATTCGGCCCCGACTCCCGAGCCGAATTCGAGAAACGAAAAGGAGAAAACTATGGGTCAAGGGACGAGGGTAAAAAAGAGGGAACAGAATGTTTGAAATCGCGAAACGAAAGAGTCGGAGAGAACGCGAATTGGCAACCCAAGATTTGGACGTATCACCTGGAAGAATAATTAATAAAAGTATGCGAGTCTCGAGTACCGAATGAAACGCGTACAACTCCTTGTGCGTCGTTCGGTTGGGTAACAAAATTCAAATTCGATTCGTTAAAATGACGTACAATAACTAGACCGAGGATCGTACGCGTCTACGATGTGAATTTCTACGATAAACGAATGCTGAACGTAACTAAAAGGTATATGGACTTATGCGAATTATAGAATACATTAAACATACGTCGCGTATACTTTACGTATGTTTTCTACGTTGTCGTACATCGTGAGTGCATAAAATCTACAGTCTGATGATAACGAGAGAATCGAATGGTTGATCCACGAAATAAAAGTAACCACCCGATCGTGGTTAATAAGCGATACTGTTGTTCGAAAGGAAGAAAAAATTCTGTTAAAAACAAAAGGGGGAAAAAGAAAAAAGAATCGAAAAAAGAAAAAAAAAAAGAAAAAGACAATTGGTTCCGACGACGGGACCGAAGAGTTCGACGAAAGGAGATCGAGCGTGTGTCGCGGTAACACGAAGGAAGAAGTCGAGCTCGACCTCTCTCCTCAGTTTCTCTCTCGCACTCTCTAGCTATCCGTTTCGATCTGCTGTCTCGGCGTTTGCCGCGCTAACCGCACTCTTTCTAAGATATATATTTAGCATCACAGAGCTTCGTCTCGCCTACTTTCTGCTTTGTTTCGCGCTAGACGATGACTTCTTTCTACACGCCTTCAGATTGTCCAATAGGTATTTGAACTGTATAATCTGGAGCCTCGTGACCGCCGGGTCCGAGCATTTGTCCAACCACTTGAAGAACTTTTCCCCGTGCTCGATCGCCTCCTCGGTGCTGGCGGGCACGTCGCCCGACGTCTCGACGTCCTCGTCCTCCGGCACCTCCATGTTCAAGCTTCGTTTAACGTTCTCGTTGTTGTTGTTGTTGTTGTTGTTGTTGCACAGCACGTTGTCGAGCATGGCCCTCGCCTTGCTCGGCGATTTCTTGGCGACGGGACTAGGCGCGAGTTGCGTCGGCGTCGGCGTTATCAGCGGGAAGCTGCACTGTTTGTACCACTGCCAAAACCACGATCCATCTTGCTGATTGATGCTCGGATTGAAGCTGGCCGACTGTTGGCCGAGCAGTTGTTGTTGCTGCGTCAGCCAGAGCCAGAGGGCCTCGTCGACCTTTTTGTTGTTGGTGCCACTGACGTTCCCGTCCTTCTTCGGTTTCGCGGATCGCTGAATGCTGCTGTTGTTCTCGTTGGTCTTCCTCGGTGAAGCTGGGACCGGCGTCGAGGGCGCCTCCGCGGCAGGTGGCAGGCTCTTCCTCGTGCAGGATTTCGCGACAACGGAATCCATCTGAGCCGGAGCGATCGCGGAAATACTGTGCCTCTTGTTGCTACCTCCGTTCAAGCTGCTCGCTGTGTTCGGTAAACACGCGTTACCGGTGCTGCTCTTGGTATATTGGAGACCGTTTTCCACGAGGCCAACGGTGCTGCCGTGGGACAGGGCGGGCGACATGCTCAACAGATTCTTGGCCAACGTGCCGGTGGCGCCCGAGAGCAGGCCCAGCTGTTGCAAAAGCAACGAACTATTCTCGGGTCTCATGCCTGCCATGCTGGTCATCAGGCCCACGTAATCGATCTTGGGTTGCTTGCCGTCCGGTTTGCCGTCGGCGTCTGTGCAAATGTCACCTACGAACGACGTACCCGCTCCCGTCACCGAACTTTGCTGATCTATTTTCGACTTCTTCGCGCAAGGACCCTCGTCCTCGCTCGACAGATTCGCCGAACCGCCGGCCAAATTTCCGGCCGTCACGTTCGCCCCGGAGGACGAAGCGGGCGAGTGCGCCTCGCTGTCGGGCGTCGACGAATTCCTCGCCATTCCTCGAATTTTGTGTTCTGATTTGCACCATCCCCTTAACGTCGATTCGGGAACACCGATATCGCGTGCCACCGAGGCCTTGCTCTCCCCCTCGTGAACCCTTTGGATCGCGTCCATCTTCTCGGATGCGGAAAGTGCCCTCAAAGGGCGCTTCCCCGGTCGCGCCGACTCGCCTCTCATCGCGGCGAGACGACTCTCCTTGCCCTCGCGAACACGATCCTCGTAACCGTTGTCTTCCGTCGTCGCGATACCTTCCTCGATCACTTTGGGATCTATCTTGTTTGTCCTGCGATCCCTGCGCGGCTTGTCGCGTCCGTCTAGCGCTCGATGATCGGGATCGTCGACGTAGACGTCCAAGTTCGTCCTTAGATCCAGGTTGAACGATTTTTTCCAAAATTCTCGGTCGAACTCGAACGTTTCCGTTGCACCGCGTTCTCTTCTTTTTTGCTGTGCGTGTGCCCCGTTGGTTCGGCGGTAGCTTGGTTAGCCACTGGTTTCTTCGGTTCTCCAACCGTCACCGTGCCTCGAGCGGTTTTGTGACGCGCGCGAGAAGGCGATCGATCGACGTTCACGTTCCAGATCGCGCCATCCGACTATATCGGGCCTGCGTGTGGACACGCGAGGAATTCCAATTGCTCGTCCGCGAGACGTCAACGGGGGACGGGGGGGGACGAAGGGGAGGAGGGGGACACAACGTACGCACGACCGTGCTCGATAAAGAAAGAGGATCGAGAGATAGGTCGAGCTCGAGGCACCGTCGCGCAGAGTTCTTTCTGCGAACGCCGTCCGATTCGATCAACGTCGATAAGAAGGTGTTCCCAATTAGGCGTTCGTAGCCGCAACGTCGACGACGTACGGGCAACGGTAACACGGAGCAGCCAGAGAGATCCGTACGCCGTACCGTTGCCACGGCGTGTGGCAGCGATTCGTATCTCGCGCAGTAGTAAATAATACCGTGTGTAAACGTGGTTACGCCGGTCGGGGGAGGTCCTCCTCCGTGGAATAGCACATGCGCTCACAGAGAGTAATAAAGAACTTTTTTATGAATGAAACAACTCGGTCGGGCGGTTCCCCTCCTCGTCTGCCGCCCTCCCCCCTCCCTGAGCACTGTTTCTCTCTCTGTTCGCCACGCTTCTCCGCTCGGCGCGCACCGTCGAACCTCCTTCCTCACCGAACGCGTCCTCGGCGCTAGCGCGAGTAAAACGGGGCACGTTGCTTCGCTGCTCTGCTCTTCGTTCGCGGGCACATCAGCCAATCCGCGGTCCGCGCGGGAAAACGATATTATTGCTGTACCACGAGGAATAGCTGCCGACTCGGGTAGGAACGAGACGGGACGAAAGATGGAATCGAGAGAAACAAAGACGGTGCTAGACACGCACGGTCCGTCGACGCTCCGCGAGTCGGATCAGTTTTCGCCCGTCGCGTTATTCGCGCGCTTCATTTCGCTCGTCTCGGTTCCGTCCACGAGCCCTCTCGATGATTGCTCGTTCTCCGTCTTCCTTCCACTAGTCCCGTACGCGTGTCCTCTTGCTCGCTCCCTGCGTGCTGTTCGGAGGTCTCGAGCCAGCGACGGAGATATCGCCGACCAAGCGAGAAAGAGACGCTGCCAGACACCGAAAGGAAAAGAAAAAAAAAAAAAAACCACACACAGTCTCGACGCAACGGCTCGACGAAAGGACGGGGCGTCAAGGACAAATCCCGTCGTCGCGCACACCAATTCGTGAAAACACAGTTTAAATTTTCAACGACTCCCGAACAGAGAAATCTGTGTTTCTCGTTCGTCTTCGCGACGATTATTCGATCAGCAGGTAACACAAGACTCCGAATTCACAAAAAAAATCCAGAGGATCGAACGGCTCGGTTGAAATCGCGACGATACACAAAAATCCGTAGCCACGCTCGGCCGACACCGTTCGATTATTCACTCGTGTCTTCACTTCGATTTCTTCACTGACTATCGGACTCGATAACGCGTACGGCGTGGAACGTGTAACGCTTCGCGGACTTCCGTTTCTATAAATAACGATAATATATCGCCGATTAATCCCAGCACAGAAGTCGGACCAAACGGACCGTGACACCGGCGATCCTCACCTGACGGTGGATCGAACTCGACTGAACCGCCGGTGTGTGTGCGTGTCGCTACTCGCTGGCTTCGCGTTTACTGGTTTTCGGGGGCGCGTCGCTCGCCTTCCTTCTCGACCGTCGAACCTGATCGCCGATCGGTCCGACCCACCCGTTTCTACGCTTCGCAGCTAACTCTTGTTCGGTTGTGTGTGCCACGGTATTACACACGGCGAGGGCGCCAACTACCAACGCACGATGCTCTCGCGACGAATCGCGACGCTCAACTGCGGCGGTGGTCGCCGCCGGCTTTCCGCGGACTCGCGACGCCGTCTTCCCTCGCCCCTCTCCCTTTGCCCTGCTACGCCGCGGTTCTCCCCTCCCGATCGTCCCCTCGCCCTGCGGCACCTCGCCATTCGGCCCCCTCTCGCCCCTTCCCCTTCCCAATCCCACCACACACACACACCTCCCCTCCTCCTCCTCCTCCTCCCGCAGCGCCGAAGCCCAGCTTGCGCCTCGCCTTGCCATGCCATGCTTTGCCATGCCGCGTTGCGCGTCTTGCTTTTGCCTCGTCTTGCCTATACTCGCTCTTCTACGCTACCTCGCGGCCCTTCCTGACCCCCCCCCTCCCTCCCTCCCTCCCCGCCCGTCCGTCCGTCCGTCCTCGACGGTCCTCCGCTGCCCTCGTCCTCTTCCTTGCGTCCCTCGGTCTTCCGTCGCGCTGTCGAACCGCGCGCTTCTCTCGTTCTTTACCCCTCTGCGCCCTTATCCACTAAAACCCCTCTTCGGTCGTCCTCGACCCTCTCGGCCGCTCTCTTAACCGTCGACGTCGACGTCGTCTACCGGTGTTCCTCGTCCTTAAGGGGCCACGTACACCCGGAAGGGTGGAAAAAATCGATTTTTCCCACCCTTTGTCTTTAATGTCTTTGGAAAAATTTGTAACCGATACGCGAAAAATTGACGGACGATACGGAGACTCGACGCGTCGAAGATAATGGCCCCGGGAGAAAAACGCGAAATAAATGGGTATACAACCCCGTTTCACCGCCTCGGTAAAAGTTTCTCGCGATCGCGGTTTGGAATTCGCGCGTCGCGACGCTTTGTTCGCGTCCGAGTTTCCGGTCGACAGCGCTGGCCGTGATGGCGGAGAGAGAGAGAGAAAGAGAGAGAGAGAGAGAGAGAGAAAGAGCGAAATAGTAAGGGAGGCAGGAAGGAGAGTCGGTCGTCGTCGAAATTTACGAGCGACGCGATTTTTTCGCGCGCACCACGCAAACACGCTCGTTTAATTTCCCCGCGACTCCAGGATCTCTCCGGGGCTCGGCGTTTTTCCAAGCTCTGCTCGCTTCCTCTGAAATATAGAGAAGGTCGGAGAGGTAGGGACGGGGCGGGTGGAACCCGCGGCAAAACCCTTAAATCCGACCCCTCCTCCCCGTGCAGTCGCACGGCCCCAAGGGGAGAGCCGGATTTACGAGCGCGGCCTAAAATCCGTACGCGAACGCTGGCGAACGGGAGTTACGGACTAAGGAACGCCGCGGTAATTCGCGGATAAATTTACCAGCCCGCCGGGCGTCGCCGGACGGCGTATTTACCGTCGTAAATACGCGCGGACATCGTCGCGACCAGCACCTACGCGTCGATTTCTTTTTCGCGGCCCCGAACCAACGGCTCGCCCTACCCTGCTCGGATAATTATCTGCGAGCGAACAACCAGCCAGCCTTTGGCCTTCTCCGAGTCCCACTTCGCCGGTAACGACGTACAAGCGACCGACTAAATGAGCGAAATCGGAGGACCAACGATTCTCAATTAGTTGAAGGAAGCGATACGAGGTTTCGGTAATCGGCTGAACAAAACGATCGGACGTTGAAGTAATCCAAGATTCAAAGAAATTGATCGTAGGTACTCGTGCCGATTATGCCTATTACCGGCCAAAAGATCTCCAATTTCTGCCTCGGACAGATTTGATTCTGTTTTCGCCGATGACGTCGGTCGTCGAGCCGCTTTTCTCTTCGCTTTCCCCGGTCGTCATCGACGCTCGTCTTCGATCGATCCCTTTCCCACCGTCCGTCGCGCGAATCGATTACTCGCGCTTCACGGAACGGACTCGTTACATAAAACGCGAGAACGCCGTCTCCCCTCGCCCCACCCGGTCACCAGGGGCTCCCCTTTAAACCGTTCGGTTGCAAACCGGGAGCCCGATATATTTCGGGGCACGATTATTTCTGGAACGAGCGAAAAATCCGCAGTATTCGCGGCATTCCTTCGCGTCGAGCAGGTGATATAGCGTCGTCGTCGTCGTTGTTGTCGTCGTTGTCGTCGTCGTCGTCGTTCCTGCCCAAGTGGGACTCGGAGAAGGCCGAAAGGTAGGCGCTCGCTGGCGATAATTATCGGACCGGGGTAGGGCGACCCGTTCCCTCGTACGCGAAAAAGAAATCGACGTAGGTGCCGGTCGCGACGGTGTCTGCGCCCATTCGCGACGGCGAATGCAGCTCGGAGAGAAATTCACTCTAAATTAACGAGAACCAATCGTTCCTAGTAACTCGGTGATCCTAGACCTAGACTATACGCGAAGGATTTTCTGCGCGAGCGTGTATCAACATAGCCTGACGTTAATTTCTGCAGTTTCTAGACGCGTGAAAAGTATTCCTCCGATAAGAGCGCAAGGACCACATCGCGACTCGAAACGAAGCGATCGGAGGTCGCGAAACGCGGCATCGACCGTCGCAAAATTAATCCAGGCCGTTTTCTCCGGTGTCTCATCCGGCGCGCGTGTCTTTTTCGCGGAACGATCGGCGACCGTTAAGTCCGGAGACGGCGAGCGTCACGTATCGCGCACGAACACGCACGCATCGTCGTCCTCGCGTGTTAAAATCGCGCGCGCGTGCGACGGGGCTCTCTCCCCCTGTCTCTGTCTTTCCGTTGGCGGGTCTCGCTCGCGCGCATCCTTCCGCGAAAGGCCGAGCCGCGAGGGAAGCAGGTGAAAATTAATTGTACGGGTTACCGGCTCGAGCGTCGAAGGAGCACACGGTCTGGCATCGGCTCTCGTCGGTGCGCGACGCGCAAAGTGCGCCTCGCCGCGTACCGGAGGACGTGTCGATCGATTTTGCTCTCTCTCTCTCTCTCTCTCTCTCTCTCTCTCTCTCTCTCTCTCTCTCTCTCTCTCTC